ACAGATTGGATAAAATGTTAGATAATGGTTATCTCATCCCGAGGATTCTCCAAACATGGGATTAGGAGGGAGAGGATAAATTTTTTATCCAATCCTACCTTTCATCTAGGGCTCCAAACGCACTCTTAAAGATTGACATCCCTTCGTTAGATCATCATACTTAAACATACTAAAGGTACAAGTGATAAAAACTAAAGGATTTACAAGATTTTTTTTTAATGTGAAAAGAAAAACAGCATTCAAATCTACTGGTGTTTGCCAAACCACAAGCCTTGAATTGTTATGTATGCATGCAAGATTTATAGTCATTTCTATTTCTCGAAACTAATGAAACAGTACTAGAAACTGATCATAGCATTTAATATTGTTTTAATAAAAAGAAAAACTCTTTATTTACACCATTTATATTATTATTTTTCATATTCAACACTTTCTAATATTTTTCTTCTGGATCAACAACTCACATAATTCAAAACCCATGTCGAGCGCCTCTGACGTGAACGTTCAATTCCGTTAATGGTTGATGACTTGTCAAGCTTCTGTTGACTTGGATAAACTTTATCTGAGGTGGCTTTTTACTGACGTGGCACATGGGTCTCGCATCTGGAATTTCGTTATGGTTCCTGTATTTATCAAAATTTGAAGAAGATTGGTCCTTAGACATTGTAAATTTTAAACTAATTACCCACTTCAAGAGAAAGAAACTTTACCCATGTGAGTGCATTGAGCTTTTCATCTTCCCAAGCTTATTGGTTTGAAAAATCAAAGTAAATCTGTTTGAAACGCATGACTGGGTTTTCTTGTTAAAGATCTATATTTTAAAACCAAAACATGACTTGAAGCAAAACTAAAATTGCCATTAAATATTTTTATTGTTAAGATATTTTGTTTCAATTTCTGATTCAAATTCAACCAAGACAAGTTCGGAGGCGTAGATTAAAGTGAAAAGAGAAGACATATAGTTCAAGAAACAGTGTGTGGTTTTGGGCGAGAAATAGGTTTAAACCTGACCCGAAGCTTGGCGGTCACATGGTTCGCTGAACAAAGGCGCCATTCAGACAGGAGGATCGTCAAGGCCCAAGCAAATAGACGGTGACATCAAATCAATGAGAAACTGATCGCAAGAGTATAAAGCTTGAGCGAAGAGAACTAGAAAACGAGAAGAAACAAGATGAATCGCAGGAAATCACATGAGGAAGGTGCCCAAAAAGCCAGCGATGGCATAAAGATAAAAAATGCTGTGAAAGAAAGGGACCAGAACCGTTCGATTGGATCTCACCCCTTCTGATGTTATATGGGTTTCAAACCCATCTGGAAACGCTAGATCTTCAATGGGAACTTGCTCCTCAAACAAATTGAAGAGGACAGTTTAGTCATTTCATTCTTTTCAACAATCATTTTATTTTAAAATATTTATTTTATTTATTTTTTTCTTCTGCCGGGATGATGTAGGCTAGTTAATTGGTGTGTTTTTTTTTTTTTTTTGAACTCATGGGCGGTCGAACCCATACAGGGGAGGGGGGATGCACCTTTTATCAGGCAGTTGCCACTAGGGCCGAACGTCGAGTGCAGTTAATTAGTGTGTTGGATACCATGTCGTTAAAATGGTTTGTCACGTCATTAAAAGCTTGTCCACATAATGGCCAAGGGCAGTGCTAGGAGAACTCGTCTCCTGTACTCTCCAGCCAACACATGCTTTTTTATTGGGCCACGTAAGCTTGCTTAGCCATGAAATGATTACCTCTCTCCAACTAACATAACGTGGCCCAATGAAAATGGAAGTGTTGGATGGAGAGTGCAAATGGCGAGTGTTCCTAGCATTGCTCAACGGCCGAATCAGCAAAATTGTGTAATGCGATGAAGCATCTGACGAAATGTAACGGCACGTGCTTCACCCATGACATATCTGTTAACTTTCGGGGTTTTTGGTGGGTTTTGAATTGTGCAGAGCGGAGGAAAAACATTGAAGGGTATCGATTGTAAAAGATAATAAGATAGAGGGTGAAATAGAAAGTTAACATAGAAGAAGAGCTCTTGTCCCCATGCTTATCTACACCAGTACATTTGGTTAAAGTCTTTTTTTTTTTTCCTTTTTTTTTTTTGCATTCATTCAAAAATTACTCAATAAAATCTTTTAATTTTTAAATTTTATGTAGAGTGAATTAGTTCAATACCCAACTAAAACTATTCTCAATCTCGATAAACATAAAAACTTGACCTCAATCTTCCACTCAAGCTCATTTCTTCCTCTAAAAGTTGGTTCAAAAGAAACATAAAACCTCAAAATGAATTAGTTTTGGCTCTTTTTTAAGTGTATAAATAATTATAATTAGTTTATTTAGTTTATAACATCCAAAAATAAAAAAAATAGTAAGATGCTAGAAGTTCAAGTAAAAATTTTTTACATGACAAAATCTAATTTGTCGAGAATGCTTAAATCTTCAATATATTAAATTTAATTGTCCTTAGCTTTTATATTGCCCTCAACTTATTTTTAGACTCAAATATTAGCTAAAAGTTCAACCTGAAATCTAAAAATAATGGTGAAAATCTCATCATAAAGTCAGCTTAATTTGTCACATTTTACACAAGAGAACTAATACCATATTAACAAATTTAACAAGCTAAAAAAATCTTGAGAAAGCAAAATTAATGATAAATTTTTAAAGTTAAATTAGCATGGAATGACTAATTCTCAAGCCAAGCACTAAAATGCTTAGGTCGACTCACTTAACTAAAAGAAACCAAATACAAACTGGGGTTATTGAGCATGGCTTCTTACAGCCCTACCGTTAACAAAATCCTGTTTGAAAATCACTCCACCAAGCAATTCCACACTTCCACTTTGATAAAACTATTCCAAGAAAGTCGGATACTTTTGAAAACAACGAAATTACTTAAAGGTAGTTGAGTGAAGAATATGATAAGAAGCGTATGTATAATCCAAACATGCATCAATTTGACATGTAAACAACCACATATAGAATTACAAAAATGAACCAACAATGGAGGTGAGACTCATACAAAAGTTCATATGAATATAAATGTTAAAAAACCACAAACAAAAGGAAAAAAGTATATGTGACGGTCATAATCCTTGAAACGTTCCTTAGACCCTGAATGTGACATGTGGTGACTTTTAGAATCATAAGTGTGAGAGCACTCATAATCCCTATCACAATCTCGTTGATCATACCTGCCACGATCTCTGCTCCTTCGTGTTAAAGAATTTTCAAAATATTTTTAAGATTTGGGTTCGAATCATAAAAAGTTGGTTCGAAGCAATTGCACAAAATGCATTTGAGAAAGTGTAACTTTGGTTCGAACCATAATTATATGATTCGAATCATTTACGTAAAACCATAATCCGAAAATTTACGATTTTGATTCAAATCACATTTATCTGATTCGAACTATTTACGCCAGAATAAGAGATAAAATTCAAATAAGTTTCTAAAGAGAGTGGATAACTTTGAAAGACAAGGAAACACGTGAGTTGGAATTCAAATCAAACCAAATGACTTTTGGAAGAGTTTCTAACGGATAAAAATTGAAAAGAAGTGTTTGTTCTCAATAGACATCTTGAAAAGAAGTGTCTATTCCAACATACATCTTGCCCTATAAATATGGAGTTATCTCTTTTTTTCTAACAGAGTCCTTTTGAACCCAGAAATATCTAAATAAAATAGCTCCTTTTTGTATTGCGATTGCTCGAGAAATCCCTCTACAAAAACTATTGTTTTGTCACTTTTCAAATGATGGTTCAGTGGTTGATCTTGCTAGTGCAAAGGTGAGATCAACAAGGTGTTTTCTTGTATCCTATGGGCATTTCGAGTTACCCCCATTGCATACCAGATCTGGTGGGGTGAAATTAACCTAAAGAAAAGTGGCATTTACAGCACGCCTTAAAACCAATGATTTAATGATCTCATTTCTAACCCCCTATTTCTCCAACACTTCGTTCATAATCCCTCCCTTTGTCACGACTATCAACTAGGTCTTGGTCCCAACTAGATTCTCTCTCATGATCTCTACTTTCTTTTGATCTATGCCCCACCAAAAAGATTTTAAAAAAAAAAACAAAAAGTTATCACCAAATCCACTCTCCATCTGATGGTTTACAGTTTACCCTAAGGGGAAAAAAAAATACATCAGGATTAGCTCCTCTCATCATATCTGTGAAGTTTGCTGCTCTTGTTTTTCTCTTCTTGACAAAAAATAATTAACAAGAAGTCTTGCTGGAGGCTAATTCTAAAAAGAGGAATGCTAGCGTCAGTCGCTTTTCGACACTCGCTTTTGACACTCTCTTTCTCATTTTGCCACCTCACATCTGTTTTTAAGGGGTAAACTGGATACCGACTCTAATAAGTTATGTGTTTAAATTTAGAAATAAAAATTTGAGAGCCAAGGTAAAATTAAAAAATTAATAATAAAAACAAAAGACATGTCATTTTCTCTCACCTCGCTTGTCCGCCATGACTGGGCTTCCTTCACCTCTTACATCTCTCTTCTAGCAATTTAGATCTTGCTCTTCATATTTTCCTGTTCCACTAATTACAAATAAATTGAATACGCTAGTTAAGTTAAAGAAGATTTCTACATTTTTAAAATCTCAATTTTTTGAGAAAATCATAAGATTAAAAAAATTAGAGAAAGCACATAACATAAAGGTAATTTTTTACCACTTAATTAATTGTGTATTAAATAAATATTATACCACCAAGCACTTGAGGAGGACAGCCATGGCGGATTGAAATACACAGAGACATTTCCTTACCCATTTGGATCAGCTTCTTTATTTATCTTCATTCTTCTTCTTTTTTTTTTCCTTCTTTTTAAAAAAAAATTGTAAAACACGAAATAAATTGGGAAGACTCCAAAACCCCACCCAATGCCATAACCATCCAAAATCACAGTAAACTGCTAAGAACAATAGTTTTGCCTTCGGGAGAAGACGGTAGAATAGAATTTTTTTTTTTTTTTTT